CCCCATCCCTGGAGGTATTTAAAAGACGACTAGATGAGGCGCTTAGGGACATGGTTTAGTGGGCCTGATGGTGTTGGGTCGATGGTTGGACTCGATGATCTTAGAGGTCTTTTCCAACCTCAATGATTCTATGATTCTGTGATTCCAGCACTAACACCTGCAAGGCACTTTATTAACAACAAGACGGGAACAGATTCTTCATACCTTGGTTTTGCATAGCCTGTAGCTAATTTTAGACTTTCTTCTCTTGCTCCTGCAATAGCTAAGTGTTCTCCATTTCAGCATTCAACAAAGTGGAAGTTGAGGCCTCATGTAGACCTTAATAAGGCCAACTCAGAGACTGGCCGTATTTTTAAGCCTAGCTCAGGTACCTTTAAACACAAATTCCTTTCTAGCACTAGAAAAACAATTGAAATTCCAAGTAGAAAGCTGCCACTGATGTTTTTTGGTAAAATACATCACTGCAAGCCGAGCCAGCTTCCCCTGAAAAATTTAAGTCAATGGCAATTTTTCTATGGATTTTTAGCTAAGAAGCATAATGTTCTAGTTCATAAGACATACAGAATAAGGCATTTTGAGTATTTAAGTTACTACACGCACACATGCCAAGACATTACGTCCCACTGTTTTCCTGACAAAGTCTTAGAAACCCAGCTACACCCTCTGCTACGGATGCGCCCGGGTATTTGCTCAAAAGGAAAATTCTGCTGGCTCAGAAGCGGTCACTCAGACTAAGCTGGCCAGGCTGAAAGAGGAGGAAAAACAGCACAAACATTTCTTCTTTGCAAAAGGAAATTTGTTTTACGCTGCACAAACGCAAGCCGTGACTTTTCAACTCATATGGGAGCTCTGGCCAAGCTGCATCACCAACAGTCATTACAATTCAGAACCAGGAACAGTTTTGGCACAGGATCTGCCGCCAAGAAGTGTTTTCTCCTTAACAGCCTCTTTTCCAAAGGAAAAGCACTCCACAGCCAGGAAGATCCCTGGTTATAGACTTAAAAACAAAACAGAGCAGCTAACTGTCACCAGAGCAAAACTAAGCCCTCAAAAAGCAGTGAAAGAATCGCCTGCAATCATTGCCAGGAGAAACGAAATTTAAGTTTTGGTTTGTGGTTTTTTTATTTCTTTAAGTAGTAAGCACACTAAGAAAAACCCCAGACTACATGAGAGCACAGAAGAACAGTAATACACAACCACCATTACCTGGAAGACGCAATAGGGCAGCTTTGACAGCATTTTTTTCACATTTCTTCCTATAAACCCATCAGGTCTCACGAGACCCCATCTCACAGCCCCAAACGACAGGGAAGACGTGAGTCCAGCCCCGCTGCCTGAGCTCTTAAAAACTGCAGTTATCCAAGGGAGGGAAAAGTCACCTCTAACAGCTCCCCCGTTTACCCTCAGCTAGTTCTCACCTCCTGCTGCCTTCCCCTACCTACGAACTTATTTTCACATGCACAGAAGCTACAGACTACACAGAAATGCAGCTCCTACATATTCAGCCAAAGAAACACAAGCACACCAATAAGACACAGAGCAAGGAGCAAAACAGAAGTCTCCTCCAGTACCAAAAGGAAAATATCGACAGATTTGGCCAAACACATACCACTCAATCTCTTTGAGCACCGTGACCAGCTAACCATGCCCATCTTCTACATCAACCACATGGTGAGGACTTCTCACAGACCTCCAAGCCATGGGGCCAGTGCTTTCCATGGTCTATCCAAGCCAATAAAAAAAAAAAATCAAATATCCAGCACTTTCAACCAAGACCCACACCCATCCGCAATCCAAAGTCACCGGGAAGAGGCGACGCGGTCAACTACCCACCTTGGTGGTGTCATCATGTGACCGCTGATACCGTTTCCAGCGGCAGCCGTAGATCCCCGTCAGACAAGACAAACATAGCTGCGGCTCATAGTACTGCAGCGGCTGGTGTTTAACCATGCTCCTTCCAGCCCCTCAGGAGCGAGGTATCAGAAATCCATCAGGTCCTGGGAGCGCCCTTCAGCAAGAGGAGAAAAGAAAAGAGGGGGGAGAAGGAAATTAAAAATGCCAAGCAATATTTCAATACATTAACAAGCAATTTAATAATTAACCATGTCCTCTGGCTATTAAGAGAGTAGGAACGATAATCAGATCTATTCCCAGCCCTGCCAACATCTCTGGCTTGTTATTCAACAAGACCGAGAAGTTTAATTAGTTTGCAAGTTTTATTTCCTTGTGCAGTTTCTCCCACACCACTAAAAGCAAAAGGAATTCATAGGAGTTATCAGTAAGGAAAGCCACACAAGGACAAGAGCAGTAGACAGATTATTTGGAGCCCAGATAATTATATTTTTATGAATGACTGAAACGTAAAGAACCATACCTTCTGCAAGCACAACCTTAAAATTGGTTCAGGGACCTCTGCAAAGTTGAAACCCAGCCAAGCTAAAGCAGTTTATCCTGAGCATCCTATAGAGCCTGCAAAACAGTCCCAGGCGAGGAGCTAATACTTCTGTGCATGCTGGAAGAGGCAGATACTACCCTCTCCCTTTACATGCATCTCCAACGAGCACTCACAGGGATGCAGAGCTGGTTGCAGCCTTCACCCGGGAGAAGGATCCCCTCCCCACCAAACAGCATTCACTCCCAAAGGACCAGACTGACTCTGATGCAACTGCTCTATTTGCCTTGTGTGGGAACATCACTGTTTCGAGGGAAAGTACTCCGCTCCATCGATGACATGCTTTGTGCGTCACAGGGCTTTTTTGTTTTAAATATATTTAGATGCTCGCTTTCGTCTCTGGTGAGATTCGTATCAAGAACAGACCAAGTAATTGTACGCTCTTACTAATTCATAGAGTCAGCGTTCGGAGATGGGAACCTCAAAGCAAATATTTGCCCGTCTGGTGGTGTCATGCTGCTCTCAGCTGTACTTAACTCCCACCAGGGGTTTTCCACAGGTTCCTGGTGCACAAGTGAACACCCACAGCCCCGCACATTGCCGTTGTGTGGATAGTCGGTGCACTATGAGTGATGCTCAACAGCAGTTGAGCTTGCGAAGTGCTTGGCTACCTTTCCAGAGCGTGCACAGTACGTAGGCAGTAAGGAAATCGCGCTCTCTCTAGGGGAAACGCTTTGTTTCCTTATATGCAGGATCCCCAGCACTCAGGTCTTGCAAAAAGCTACGACAGCTACGAGTGGCAACATCCTCACTGGCATCAGCAAAGCGTGACAGGGATTAAGGAGATAACCTAGCCACCTAAAAGCCTTTCATTGCTACGTCCCATGGGAGGAAGCCTCCAAAAATGGGGTTGACCGTATTTTTCTTTATAGCCAATGCAGAAGGGCGTGCTGCAGGTGTTGCAAACACTCTGGCAGAGTCCAGAAATGTCAGCGAGGACACAGACAGATCAACCCTTCCAGCTTCTGTCCTCCTTTGTGTCCATTTACACTCTGTGCTTCATGCTGACAGCCTAGGACAGCCCTGTCCTGGCTTTCTCTAATCAGAACTCAGCATCCAGGAGGCAGACAGATCTTGCTAGTTGGTTGCTGTGGTTTCAAAGCCCACCAGACCGTTAACATGCTGTCTCCAGAGCCCACAACCCATACGTCCTCTGCCTTCCTCTTATACAGACACACAAAACGTAGCTTTGTCCTTTCAGCAAGCCTCTCTGTAACGCTCCGGGCGCTGCTCGAGGCATTGACCCAGGCAGAGGACATGAGATGTGCAGGACTTGCGTATCAGTTCGTAGCTGGCCCGGATCCCCACGTGGTTTTGTTCGTCCCCTCAGGGAGGACATGCAGGACAGAGGCACAAACACATCCAGTCTGAAACGAGAGCTATCTGCTGATCATGTCACCCTGTACTGTCCCAGCTCATCTGCCCCTAAGCGCTGCTGTACGACCTCCATGGCCTCGTGCTTGAGGTCACCTCCCTGCCTGCATGTCATGCTTTCTCATGCTATTTATAAAGCTCAGCATTAGTCACTGCACAAGTTGCCTCCTATCTTCAGCTTTTTTCTGCTTCAGGATTGTCCCTACAAAATGAGTTTCCCGGTCTGCCTTCCCCGTGCGCCAGCAGCACACTGCGGGCAGAAACAACTGCCAGTTAGAATAGGACAGAAACACTGAGGACATGCGAAGTTAAATGCTATTTAAGGGTCTTGCACAAAGCCATAACCTCTGCCCTGAAGATCCTAAGCAGCAAGTGACGTACAAGATGTTGTGGGACGCAGGCAGGACGTAAAAATTATGCACAACCTATTAACAAGAGTCCCCTGCCGAGCCCCATATTACCATCCTGAAAACCTAGCAGGCTTCAGTCGTTACAAGAAAACCTTCATTAATTAATCTCCAGAGGACAGCATCTCTCCCGATTTCTACCTCTTCCTGCTTTAGTCATGCAAGGCAAGAGGGCAGACAGACCTCTATCTTTAAAAGCTTTGACCACATATTTTATTTGCTAGCTTGCAAGAATTGCATTGCAAACTCAAACACAAGCACTACACTCGAGCATTTCATCACTCCCCTCTTCTGGGAAGCCCCTAGCTGTCCTCCAGCCCAAACACCTGGAGAAGCGGTGCTGTACACCGGCCACACGCATACGGAGTGTCAAAGCTGGCAAACCCTGACTTTTCAAAGAGAAATCAATTCATCTGAAGTGGCAGGAGCCTGGGAGCAGAGGCTGTCCTTCAGAAAATAACGTAACTCGCGTTATGGATCCATCATTCCGTTAACAAAGTTGAAGCTCAAGCACTTATGATTAAGTCCCTGGCTGCAACCTCACAGCACAACTCACAGGAGGCAACTGATACGGCTGGGAAGGGAATAGGGCAAGTTTGGGCAAGCACCACAAGTTAGCAGGTACGTGAAGAGCTCTCACCTCAGAGCTATCACCAGATCCCCGATTCAACCTGTTGAAGATACCAACATCCCTCTCTAACTGATAGCTTTGGATACGCAGTCACAAGGCATGAACTTTGCTGCACAACCTGAGACAGTGGAGGCACCAAAGCCTTTCCAAACGGCATTGCTTTCGCAAGGTACGAGTGCACTTCAGAGATGGAGAGGGACCAGCAATCAACCCTTCTCCCTGAAGAAAAATCCCACCAGGAACACCAACAGCCAGGGTAGATGCAAAAGCTTTGAGTTTATTGTCCAGTTCTGAAGAGCATCTACCAACCTCCCGCAGCAGCCTCTAATCCAGCATCTCCCAATCTCCTGGCAGAGTTCAGGAGGGACACAATGTTTTCAGTACAAAAGGACAACCCAAAAGCACACCTGTCCACCAACACCATCACCAGAAGGCACTGCTGGAAGGTTTTAAGAGCAGCAGAAAAACAACCAAGAGAATAAAAATTACAAGCAAGGGAAAATACAGCTGAAAAGGCTCCATAAGCCACCAAGTGAAGCTCCCACCCTGGTTCCTCTCGCTGAACCCCAGCACAGGCAGATGCCATGGGAGCCCGTAGATTCAGGCTGCTCTCCATAAAAGCAGTCAGGAGAAGCACAAAGAGAAGAAATCCAACATGAGTTTCAAAAAAAGCCATTCCTAAATGCAGTTGAATTGCATGAGGCACAACCTACGAGCCTAAAATCATTCCCTCTTCTCCACAAGTGTCACGAGCAGATGCACAAAAGCCCACAACAAAAAGGAGAACACAAAACACAGCACCCATCCTCCCCACCACGCACAGACACCCGAATAGTAACAAGAAATGAAGGAAGAGACTGAAGCACAGCAAGCAAGATGCTGCTTGAGAGAAACCACACTGATACCGTCTGTCCGGAGATCCTTGCTTGGCCGAGATCATGGACTGAATACTTGCTTCTCCTGCTTCCAGAAATGGATTTAGTGGAGAGAAGCAGAAAGTCCGTACCTTACAATCACTGTTCCCATGACATCTACAGCTTTGAGGTGGAGAAAGCAGGCTATGAATGATTCAAAGCTCTGCTGGTTAGCATTACATACAGAAATGAAAACAGGAAGCAAGACAACATACATTAATTATTCAAATTCAGCAACGTGCACCAGAAGGGGGGAAAAAAAAAAAAATAGAAAACACAAACCCACATAAGCTATCAACCTTGACTTTAAAGATGCATCATCTGCCAATGGCTACAAACTTCTTAGAGCTGAATAACTGAGTTTGCCAGCCAGCTTGCCCAAAAAGGGGGAGCAGGGTAGAGTCCATCTGCAAATACAGCGGGAGCATCTTCTGAAGGCTCCAGGATGCCTAATTAGCACACATGGCATTCCTGAGATACTGGACTGTAGGTATCCGTTACAGCCTGTGACACATTATTCCTTTCCAAACAGCTTCAGAGGGAAAAAAAAAAAAAAGAAAAAAAAAAGGCAAGAGAGAATTCAAGTTGCAAGTTTAAAAGGGAAGCTCTCTGGGGAGATCTGGCCTAAAAATTTGGATTTTTGTCTCTATGAGTTAACTCCTCCATCTCTGTAGCCTTAGAGCAATACTCAGAAACCTGGAGTGGAGAGAGAACAGAGCGATCGGGACCAACTGTTAAACCATCTCAATGCTATTTTAGCAACGGGAAGAGCAAGAGCACGAGTCCTGAAGTGCACTGAGTAAATAATGTGAATGAAGCCATGGAATAGCGGGTTTAACAGCATCTGACCCTTTCACAAGGCATGGTACAGTCCAAGCTCTCCCTTCTACTCCCCCTTCAAATTTCTTTTCTATCAGCCCAGTTTCACGCAGGTCACACTGATCTCATTCAGCATCTTGGGACAAATCTTTTAATAGCCCAGAGACAAGCAGCTTACCGCGCATCCAGCAACACTACCGACAGCGCTATTCTGAATACCCACGTGATTTGGTCAGGGTGATTTGGGGGAGCTGGGGGGAAGAGATGAAAGCTATGGGTTCCTGCCTGCCTTACCTTGACCTGCTACCTCCAGCCTTCTTCCAAATACCCTAGGCTGGTTCAGTGCGATAAGC